AGAAAGGGAATAAATGAGAATGAATAACTTCATACAAAGCAAGAGATGTAAGTGACATATTATCTTGTTCTATCTTTTTCAGAGTCCCATATACTTCCGATGGAGGTATAACAACAAAACATGCCAAATGCATCTTTTTGTTCTGTGAAGTTATCCTTTCTCATTCATACCTATTCTTTATTTGTTTTTATGAACTCTGTTTCTTTTCTCTTGTTTCTGGTTTTACTTCTAAGCACTACTGAGTAGTATTGGATCCCTCTATCCTTCAACATATGCGAGACACTAATAAACTAAATAAATAATGTTCAAAAGTGAGTAACGTCAATAACAAATAAAATCATGGCAAGGTCTCTAAATACAAACTAATCTAATTTTCTAAGAATTTCACCTCCAACTAGCCGTATTTACACTGCATTCTTCCTCCCTGCAACTCACTCCTGTTCTGCTGTGAATAGTGCATCATTTATACAAAGTAGTGTATAAAACTGTCTACAATATACAGTGTAACCAAAAGATGATACAAACTTGAGAGAACTAATACTTTTTCATCTTTATTCTAACTATACATGCGCTTTGTAAACTGATAAAAGTAATCAATGGATATCTTTCGTTCTGTGCTTTGAATAACTCTCAGTCTTCAGATTATTTGCTTTCTTTTATTTTGCTTGTAATTATGTGTACTTTTATTTTGCTTATAATTATGTGTGATGTTACCATCTACGTATTAGTTGGATGGTGTCACAGAATATTAAAAATACAAGGGAATTCATAAGTTAACACATGAATATACATAAAATAATAATAATAATAATAATAATAATAATAATAATAATAATGGCAAAAATATTAACCCATTTGCCCTGGATTTATGTTCTGTTCCCTGTAGTTTTTGGTGAATTTTGTTACATACAGATGGCTCCACATGTGCTCAGCCGGCAAGGAGTCTATCAGTAGGCCCTAATTACCGACCCTGATTTTCCCATTCATTGAATTGGTGGAAAAATTAATACCATTGCTATTGATACTGTTATTTTAGTTATTGATGTTATGATCATTAAATTGTCATTAGAATATTATAGACAATGAAATGATACAAAAAAACCTTTCCTAAAGTGAAGGAAAAGGGTAAACAGGTGAAATAGGTAGTTCTTGATAACTGGCTATTTGGTGATTAAGAACTTGTGGAGCCATCTATGTGTAAGTACAATAAATAAATGTGTATCAAAGTGGGTATGGCATCTAAGGGTTAACAGTAATGATGAAAATAATATGAACAGATAAACTGCCCAAAAAAACAATAACAATAATAATAATAATAATAATAATAATAATAATAATAATAATAATGATAATAATAATAATAATAATAATGATAACAATAATAATAATAATAATAATAATAATAATAACAATAATCATAAAAATCATAATCATCATTGTCATCATTATTAACATCATTACTATCATTAAAAAAATAATAAATACGTTAACTGTCATTATTGTCTGCTCTGCAGCTAAATTCCATGGAATAAATATAGCATTAAAATGAAAGTAAAATTTGAATACAACTACAGAACAAATATTCTAACAATCCCATTTTAATCTGATAAAAATCCATTCATTGTATATTTTGTGTCAGAAATCCTTGTTGACTATCTTTTTTTTTTTGCATAATTTTATCAACAATGTGAAGTGTTCTGCGTTTCACATTAAATATTTGAAATAGCACAAAGGGCAATGTGAAAACTAATTAAGAGATTTTATCCAATTTCCCTTTCAAACCTTCCAACAAAAAATATGTTTCTCGAAAATATGGCAGAATTTATAAAATACTCGTCTTACTGGCTTTCCACCTTACTGATTTACGACTACCAAATAAATTTTAGAGTCTCGGAAAACTAGTGTAGTAATTAATAATTTTCTGAGCAAAGTCCACTAAGAAAGCAAGAATATGCAACTGAAAAATCAACATGAATATCAATTCACAATCCTCTTCCTAGGGTGATGCTAATAAAAATTCATCAATAATCATCAAAACTATACCTAACAATGCACATCTCACCTTCAACAAATCTTTTATTCATCGTACAAAGACAATAAACATTCCTTATTTCCCCACCCCCTAAAAAAATATACAGAACAAACTGGACCAAGGTTGTACTTTCCTGCATACAGAATACATTGCATGAATCATGAAAACCTAGCCAGTCTACAGCAAAGACAACTACAACAACTGATACATGCATTATTCAACTTCTTATTCTTCTTCAAACCTACACTGTTTTCTTACCGATAGACATGGGCATGCAGTCAAAAAGAAGAGACAAAAGTCAGAATTAAGTAACCTAATAAAAAATGACATTGATGATGACAACACTAAAAAAAGGCAAAAAACAATAATAACATCAATGAAAAGCACACAGGGAATCATGCTGGAAATAAGGACATTAAGAACACTATATAAACAATGAATGTAAAAATGAATGTACAAGAAAAAAAAAGAAAAAAAAAGAAAAAGGAAAAAAATCTCTTGAAGATAAATATAAAATCATACAGCTTTATTGAAGTCTTTTTGTATTAAACTACACATATGCTTGTAAATGCACCATGTATAGTGTATGTCTCTACAACCTTCTGCATATGAAAACACTTTAGCTTTACTACACAAAAATATTAAACCATTTGGTATGTATGCAAAAATACTGTGTGTGTGTGTGTGTATATGTGTATGTGTATATGTGTGTGAAGGTGTGTGCATAAATAAATAAATAAATAAATAAATAAATAAATAAATAAATAAATAAATAAATATATATATATGGATGGATGGATGTACATATGTATGTATGTATAATTTTTCCTTATAACTGTTTCTTTCAACAGTTAAAATACTATCCTTTCCCTTTTTTCTCATCTTTTATAAGATAAGTCACACATTTAAGTCAAATGAAACAACTATGCCCATAACCTCTTCCTACAGATAATTCTATTTCCTATCATTTCTCATTAAAAAAAGAAAGAAGATTAAAAAAAATGCAGTTTGAAAATAATGTATGCAAACCATACATCTTCATCTTTTATCTTTCAGTAAACGATAAATATTATTTGTTCTTATGGAAGACAGACAGCTAACATGTCTTGTCAATTCTGACAGTTACATTCTTTCTTAGGCTCTACCATTATCAACAACTTTGTCAGTGTGTTTGTTCCTTGTTCCAAGGCATTAAGCCTTTCACTTGAATATGGTAAATTATATAGAACTGCCAAGGACATATCTGTTTCATTTTTGAAGCTATCATCATCATCTACCTAATATACTCCGCTCACATCGGTAGCCACCAGTGCCATGCCGAATCAGCTGCTCAAGGGGATAATTGGCAGCATGGGAAACATAAAATTACCCTGCTCTCTATGCTCTTGGCTGCAATATGAACTACTGTCAGGGAAATGTGGCAAACAGGAGGCTTTAAGCCTATCTTTGCTGGGAAGATTTCCCTTATTGACCAGAGCCAGGACCAATGTGCAACATTGAGCAAGCTCAACTGTTCATGGTATGACTTCATCTTGGCATGGGATAGTCTATCATGGCAAAATGGGACATCATCCCATCATGAATGAGTTAAAAAACCTTTTGCCTATTGTTTGCGAATTAGAAACGACACTAATTAAATTTTTTACCATGCTTGCTTTCTGTCACTATGCAGTTTAAAGAGGAAATTTACCTGTCCTTTTCTGTGGCAAAATATTTTGTAAAGACACTTACAGCAAGCATCACAACTTCTTGTCTGTAATTTCTACTCTATGACCATAACCTGGAAAGTGATGGTCTCTAAAGAGTACATTGTGATTTGTCGGACTTGTCTACAAGGTAACAGTATTCTTTCACTTAACTGTCAGCTGTTAACAATAAGACAGATATCAATTGTACTTTATCTGCATATATTCACTGCTGTGATTGTATCTACAAATAAATTGAAAAATGAATTCTTCTCAACAATACTTCCACTCTCTTTGTATTTAGTTCTCTGGTATTTTAGTACCATTTCTTGTATTCACTGAAATCTGTGCAAAAATAGGTATCATAACACAACGAAGTTTGTATAAGAAATATAAACGGATAAAAAAGAAAAGAAAAAAAAAATCAGCATGGAAGAAACAAATAAATCATATGATTACATAATAAAGCAGTGAGCAGATTAAAACAGGAACCCAAGTTTCTATTTACAAATAAAAGAAGTTAAAAAAAAAAAGATTTTTTTTTTTTTTTTAATACTGGTGCAGGCTGAAGTGACTTTAATTAACGTCTACGAGTTCTGCATCTTCTCCAGCACACCCTATTTTTGCATTGCATTTGCGTTTACAAATTCAGATCATTGTCAGCCTTTC